TCCGAGGTGGCAGAGCCTGCCCCTGGAAGAGGGGTCCAGAGTTCCAGGGGCGTGCCACTCTCCTCCTCGTCCTCGTCTTCCTCCTCCGCCTTCTCCTCCTCCTCCTCCTACTCCTCCCCCTCCTCCTCCTCCTCCCCCTCACCCAACATCCCCCCCTCCTCCCCTACCTCCTCCTCCTCCTCCTCCTCTCTCCTCCACCTCCCCCTCTCCCTCCTCCTCCCTCCTCCTCCTCCCCTCCTCTCCTCCTCCTCCTCCTCCTCTTCGGTCCTCCTCCTACCCTCCTCCTCCCCCCTCCTCCTCCTCCTCCTCTCCTCCTCTCCTCCTCCTCCTCCTCCCTCCTCCCTCCTCCTCCTCCTCCCTCCTCCCCTCCCTCCTCCTCCTCCCCCCTCTCCCCCCCCCCCTCACTCCTCCTCCCCTCCTCCTCCTCCTTCCTCCTCCTCCTCCGCCGCCTCCTCCTCCTTCCCTCCTCCTCCTCCTCCTCCTCCTTTCTTCATCTTCTCCTCCTCCTCCTCCTCCCTGTCCCTCCTCCTCCTCCTCCTCCTCCTCCTCCTCCAACTCCTCCTCCCTCCTGCTCCTCCTCCTCCTCTTCTTCCTCCTTCTCTTCCTCCTCCTCCTCCCTCCTCCGCCAAGGTTGGTGACGACAAGACCCAACCCGCCTCCTGCCTGCGATCTTTAGCTCGGCCTTCCCGATCTCATCGCGCCGTCCTTCTGCCCTCCACCGCGGCGGCCGAGGCCGTGGCGTTTTCCATCGCTGCCATCTGCCACGACGTGAAGCACTTCGGTGCGCACCCGCCACGGGAGGGCCAGCACCCTGTGAGAGGCAAGCGAGGGAGCACGATGGGTCCGTGCCGTCTCGGCGCTCTGCACGGGGTTTCCAGGCCTGCTGCTAGATGGGGGCCGAGCTGATGGGGCCGAAGGATGGCGCAGCATCTCCAGTGCATCGGCCGTGCGGCTCCGCGTGGAGGCCGATGTTATGTTTGTCCACGCCGATGCATCGCCGATGCATCGCCGACGCCGCCGATGCATCGCCGACGCATCGGCGATGCGGCGCGGCCCTTGGACACCGTGCGCTCGGACCCCACGTGGGAGGCCTCCAGCGACAGCCCCCCCGCGCCAACGCGGGGCAGCTGCCCTCACCCCGGGAGGCGGGCCCGCGCGGGACGCGCAGCGCCCGAGCAGAGGCGGCGGCGGCACTGCCACGCAGAGGGCGGGCTCTCTGGACGGGATTCTGGCCTCCCGCTGGTGGCTTCCTCCTTCCTGCTTCCTTCTTCCTTCCAGTTTTGTCAAGGGAGGAACCCAGACATGATCGCGTCGCACAACAAATCAGGGCGGGAGGTGTTTGACCATTTTCGGCCTCGGGGGGCCCTCGCCGGGCCTCGGGACCGTCAGAAAACGACTCAGGATGAAAAACCGGTCCCGGGGAACGGGCCGGGACTTCCGGGCCGACGCCGTCTGGAAAAAACTAGGACGTCGCATGTCTGGGAACAAAACCACCCGGGCCCGAGAACTGGCGTGTGCCACGCGGCCTCTTGGGCGCTGATAACTGAGGGCAGCCCTGCCCTATTCGTTTCTTCTTTGGGTGCGTTTATGCGAAGCGACTTCGCGCGCCGGGGTGATTCGTACCCAGACCCCCGACGTCATGATTTGTTCATGACGCGACCCCCAGAGGTCCCGACCCATTCCCCGGGACCGGCTCTTCATCCCGAGCCGTTTTTGGACGGTCCCGAGGCCCGGCGAGGGCCCCGGGATGCCGAAAATAGGGAGAAACTTCCCGTCGTGATTTTTTCATGACCCGAGGAGGTCTGGGTTTCAGGAGGCCACAGGGGTTGCAAGATTGCGCAAAGAGGACCACCAGATCGTTGAGCTCAGGCCGCAACCCGACGGGTTCATCAATATTTGGATGGCCTCCGGCCAGTGCCGCCGATCCGAGACGCTCCAGATGCTGGTGGTTGACACGACGACGACGACGACGACGACGACGACGACGACGACGACGACGACGACGACGACGATGGCGACCTCGACGCCGACAACGGACGACTTACGACTAGCTGGAGGAGGGAGGCGGGAGGCGGGAGGCGGGAGGCGGGAGGAGGGGGAGGGAGGAGTGAGGAGGGAGGAGGGAGGAAGGAGGAGGAAGGAGAGAGGAGGATGGGGAGGAGGCGGAGCAGGCCGCAACCCGACGGGCTCATCGATATTTGCCGAGTGGGCCGAAGACGGCCCAGGCGAGCGGACACAGAGCATCGAGGCCGTGTGCTCGGACACTGGCACGCAAGCTGCCCCTTCGTGGTGTCGCGCGCTGGAGCGCCCTCTGCTCCGCGCGGTGGGGGCCACGCCGGCGTCCCACGCAAGCCGCGGCTGCCAGGTCGCTGCGTCATCGTGCGTAGGACTCCCTTCTGGAGGGAGAAAACACAGAGACACAGTTCATCGTCGATTCCCCAGAAAATATGGGGAAACGTGGACAATGGGGGGGAAGACGAAAATCCAGAAAATATGGAAACATATAGGGAATCCGGGGATTTGTGTGTATTTATTTGTGTGCCCCAGGGCCCCTTGATCCTTTCTTTTCGTGGCTCAGGTGTCTCCCAGGATGTCTTCAGAGAACCCAGGAGGGCCCAAGAGGCTCCAGAAAGACCTCCGGAAGGGGCCACGGGGCAGCCCGACGGCTTCAAAAAGATGTCCTGTTGGCCTGGATGGGTCAAGATTGCGGGTCGGTTCCTGGGAACCCTGGCTCTTCGGCTGCAAGACGGCTTCCAGATGAATTTGGAGAGGCCGAGGATCGCCCAAAGCAGCCCAGTCAGCCCCCAGAGTTTTTTAACATGACCCCAGCGGCCAATTCGTCATGGCGCTCGGCGGCCTATCAGCCAAACGTGCGTGTGTGTGTGTGACCGAAACAGATATGTCACCGAAACTGTGACTGGCACTGTGACCGAAAACATGGTGCGTCCTAAGTTTTTACCCGGCATTGAAGACGGTACCGGTGTCGAATTCAACAGTTCGGCCACACTCGGGCGCGGTCTGGAAAGTTGGGCACCAGCTTCGGTCACGCCTCGGGCATATGTTCGGACACGCATTCGGCTACCACGAGGCTACGTGAACGTCGGCTCAAGCAACCGTCCAGGATACATATCCCCCACACTGCGGACGGGGCTAGGACGAGGACCTATCCGTTCCAGAGCGTTCAGGAACGCTCCCAGAGCCTTCCAGAAGGCCGCGGCGCCCGAGCCTCCCTCCAGAACCGCCGGTTCCCGGAGCTTCTCGATCGTCTTCGCCCGGCAGGATGTTCGTCCTGGCCCCGTCTCAATCAACACTTCACAACCAGGGAAACGAAGAATGACATAAACACAAAGACTCGGAGGTCCGCGCGGATTTCTCGGCTCCGCGCTGGACCCCCCTGGCGGCGCCTCCGGCGCCGCCCCTGGCGCGCTCCGCGGCGCCAGGGAGGGGGGTCCAGCGCCGATCCGAGAAATCCGCGCGGACCTCCGAGTCTTTAGGTTTGTGGCACTCTTTGTTCCCCTAGTCCCAACACTTCACGACAACCTCTCGAGTAGATGGGGTCGGAAGATCGCGCCGCATCGCCGATGCATCGGCGATGCGGCTCGATGCCCAGACCGTGTTTGCCCACGTCGACGTCGCCGATCGCCCGATGCATCGCTGATGCATCGGCGACGCATTGGCGATGCGGCGCGATCCTCCGACCCCATCCACTGCGACCCCATCTGGGAGGCCCCGTCCCAACACTTCACCACATACCGTCGGGGCCCTGAAGAAGGAACCCTTTTCGTTGGGGAGGGGCTCCGCGTTCCTTAAGTGTTTCACAGCCTGCCTCAGGCTTTCCTCATGTCTTCGACAGGAAATCGAAGGTTAACTTATGGAAAAAAGGGGCCTCGTTCCTTATTCAGGGTTCCTTGGGTCAACGCCCCGACTGTACCTCTCGATCCGCATGGCGGCGGCGCGGGCCATCCGCGCCGCGCTCGCGGCGGCCAGCTGCGGGGCGGCGCGGGCCCTGCACGCCGCCCTCCGCGGCCAGCTGCAGGGTGCCCTCGGGCCCTCGGGCGGCTTCGGCGGCGCGGCGGCGAAGGATCACGAGGGGGAAAAACACAGAGGCACAGTCAATCGTCGATCCCCAAGAACAACATTGGAAGAAAATATGGGAAGTGGGGGGGCAGACAAAACCTCAGAGAGTATGGGAAATTCTATGGGGAATATGTTTCTTATTTGTGTGTACTTATTTGTGGGAGACCTCACATTGCTCGGGCAGGCGCGCGCTTTGGGTCGGCGAGGGCACGCACCGCGTCTGTGGAGCGCTCCGCCGCGTGCGTGGCGCGTGCGCCCGGACAGGACCGCGTCGTCGAAACATCAGGACGGAGGCCTGTTGCCAGCTTTCGGCCTCGGGGGGCCCTCGCCGGGCCTCGGGGCCGTCAAAAAGCGATTCAGGGTGAAAAGCCAGTCCCGGGGAGAGGGCCGGGACTTCCAGGGACGCCGTCCTGAAGAATCAGGACGTCGCTTGTTTGGGCGTGCGTTCGTGGTCACTCATGGCGCCTGGGGGCTCGCTCCATCTTGAAGAGGAGTTCTCTCAGCCACGCGCAGGAGGAGGGTGGGGGGACGGGGAGGGCTTCCTACAAGCACCCCTGCTTCTTAGAAGGCGTAGGCCTTATCTACAGATGTAAGTCCGGCACCTTCTAAGAAGCAGCCTCTTTCTAAGAAGCCCTCTCCCCTCGCCCTACCCCCTTCTGCGCGCCGCCAATTCTCAGCGAGGCAAGCGCCAGAAGATCTGAACCATCCTGGAGCATCTTGTAACATCCTGAGAAGAACACGCCCGCGAGGCCAAGCAGTGCACGGGGAATGGACGTCCGCGCGATGGCAAGAGACAGATACGTTGGCAGCAACTCATGGGAGCTTTGTACCTTGTGCGCCCTCGAGATTCAATATTTAGAGTGCATGTTTGCGTGCGCGAGCGTCTGGTAATCGATGTGAAAGCGCCGATGTAGCGCCGACAAGCGTCGGTTTAGCGTCGGTTATCGTCAACCAGCGTCGACAAGCATCGGCCAGCGTCGGTTCGCAAGAGCGAGCAAAATGACGTGGGAGGCTCCCATGAGTTGCCTCGGAAGGAGGTGCCTTCCGCGGTTGAGACGGAGCTGGAAAACAGGACTGGAGGAAGACGCGCAAATTCATAAACATAAAGTTTCGGGGCTTCGCACGGATTTCCTGGATCCTCGCTGGCGCCTCCGGCGCCGCTCCAGGCGGACCAGCGCAGATCCAACACATCCGCGCGGAGTTCCAACAGTTTATGGTTATACCATTGTTGGCTTCCGAGGAAGAGGGAGTTAGACCGGATCCAGGATGACGCGGCCGATGTCGGCGCGGTCGCCTTGGTCAAGCAGCGCCGCCTTCAGAACGAGAAGGGCATGTGGCTGAGCGGCAAGAAGCGGCAGGCCTTGTCCAACTATTTCGATGCCCAGTACCTTGGCTTCATGGAGATAGGAGGCCAGACCATCGCAGGCATCTTTGACACGGGCTCCCATTCCTTGGTCGTCTTCTCCGATCTCTGCAAGACGTGCGGCCAGGCGGCCAGATACAACCCTGCCCTCAGCGCGCACCACACCCAAGGGGAGGTCACGTACGAACTGGAGTACGGCAGCGGCACCGTGGCCACGCAGGAGGCCTTCGACATGGTCTCGGTCGGGCCCTACGCGCCCAGAAACCAGTCCCTCTGGGAGGTCGCCGATGCTGACATGCAGGTGCTGGCCACGTCGGCGTTCCAGGCCATCGTCGGCCTCGGCCCCCCGGAGGCGCCCGCCGTGTATGCCGAAGAGGACCTGGCGCACCTGCGCGACAACATGTCCAGCTACATAAGAGCGGGGCTGCCGGTGCCTGTGGACCTGGTGAGCAGGGAGGCGCACACGGCAGGCGTCGCGGCGGAGATGCGGTCGAAGGCCACGATGCTGGAGACGTTCGAGTCGAGGATGTTCTCGGTTTGCATCGGCAGGCAGCCTAACTCGAACGGCTACCTGGTCTGGGACGACACCGCGCCGCTGGTGAAACCCGAGTACTTCCAGCGCTTGCAAGTGTTTGGCAACCGCTCCTGGAGCATGACGCTGGATGAGCCCACGCTTACGTACAACCCAGCAGCCAAAGACAGACAGCTCAACGGGGACGACAAATACGAAGGCCGAATGCTCGGCTGCGAGACCGGGTGCGCGGCGCTTCTTGACAGCGGCACGTCGCTCCTAGCGCTACCTGGATCCGTGATCAACGCGCTCGTCCAACTCACGCTCGAAGCTGAGTTTAACTGCAGCGACATGTGGCAGCTGCCTTCGATAAAGGTCACGCTCGGCGGCCACGAAGTCATCCTGCCGCCCGACACCTACATCTCGGAAGTGGCCAGCAGCCTGGAAGTGCCAGAACATCTTCAGAGTTTCGTGCGCCTTCGACGCTTTCAGAGGCTCGCACCCGCGAAGGCCGAGGGCTCGCAGGATTTCGGGCCCTGGAGGGGCTCGCGGGTGCACGGATCTTGGAGGGACTCGGGATCCCAGCGGCCAGGGGCTTCTTGCGAGCTCATGGTGATGGAGGCCACTGCGTCCTCCGTCCACGGCCCACTTTGGATCCTGGGCTTGCCCTTCTTCCGGCAGTACTACACCACCTTCGAGGTCTCAGGCCGCTCCAGCAAGAGCCGAGCCGTGCACATCGCGAAGGCTTCCGACACTTGCCATCCAGCCCCCCCGGATGAAAATCCCAAGTTTCCCCCGCGGGAGCAGTTGTACAAACGCCTCGTCAACCCGAGCAAGCTCTGGGTGGCGCCATCGACCTACAGTCGAAGAAGGAACGACGGCATGAACATAAATTTTCGGAGCTGCGCGCGGATTTCTTGGATCAGCGCTGGGCCCCCCTCTCCGACACACGAGGCGCGCAGGGGGCGGCGCCAGAGGCGCCGCCAGGGGGACCCAACGCCGATCCAGGAAGTACGCGCGGAGCTCCGAGAGTTTCTGTGTATGCAGTTTTGTTGCTCCTCTGTGCAGAGCCCTCAGTTCTGGCTACGTCGACTTATGAGGTGCCTGGCACCGTGCTCCCCCGATCGCTGCCCCCGTGAGCGCTGCTGGGGTGGGGTGTGCGGGGGGGGGGGTTGGGCAACGTGCGGCTCCCGTGCGCACGCAGGCGCACAGCCGAGGCGCGGACGGTGGTCAGAAGGGGGGGGAGCCAGTTGAGGCAGCGGCGGCTCATGGCCTCGAAGGAGAAGAACGCAGCGACAGGAGCGTATAGTCTTTCGGCGCTCCGCGCGGACTGCTCGGATCGGCGCCGGGCCTCCCTTTGGGCGCTGCCGGCGGCGCCGTGCCCGGCGCGCCCCCGCGCGTCGGGGGAGGGGGGCGGGCCGGCGCCGATCCATCGACGGCCCGTGCTTGTGATGCTGCTTCCTCCTATGTGGCCTTCGGGGGCCCCTCGTCGCCACGGCTGGACGCAGCTCGGGGCACTGGAACGGTTGGGGCCGTGGGAGGGGCCTGG